GCCGCCCTGCAGGCTGCCTTCTGTAACAACAATAACATTTTAAATGCTTCATTTAAATCCACCAGTTACATGAACGATGCCTGAAAAGTGAAACAATCTCACCTCCTCTTCCTCCCTCCTCTTCAGCACCTCCACGATCTTAGTGAACAAATCTTCTCCCTCTCTGGCTTCAACGACACCGGCGTCCTCCCGCTCACCAGCGGCCATGGCAACCATCACCATGATGAGGCTGAGGACGCAGAAGCAGCCTGGGAAGACAATACCCATGAAGAAGACCAGGAAATGGGAACCTGATGATCGGAGCGTCTGCAGAGAGACAGACAGGTGAGAAAGAGACAGATAGGGTGAGAAAGACAGACAGGTGAGAGATACTGACAGGTGAGAGATACTGACAGGTGAGATAAGACAAATGAGAAAGACAGATAGGAGAGAGAGAGACAGATAGGGTGAGAAAGAGACACAGGTGAGAGAGACAGAGAGGTGAGAAGAGACAGGCGAGAGACACAGATAGATGAGAGACAGACAGGTGAGAGATACCGACAGGTGAGATACAGACAAATGAGAGAGATAGATAGGAGAGAGAGAGACAGATAGGTGAGAAAGACAGGTAGGAGAGAATGAGAGAAAGGTAAGAAAGAGAGACAGGTGAAAGAGACAGGTAAGGTGAGAAAAGAGAGACAGGTGAGAAAGACAGACAGGTGAAAGAGACAGACAGACAGGTGAGAGACAGGTAAGAGAGAGCGAGATATATGAGAGAGACAGAGTAAGTGAGAGAGACAGGTAAGAGAGACAGATGGGAGAAAGAGAGGCAGGTGAGAGAGACTGACAGGTGAGAGACAGACAGGAGAGAAAGACAGACAGGTGAGAGACAGACAGATGAGAGAGACAGATAGTTGAGAGACAGAGATGACAGAGACAGATAGGTGAGACCAAGAGACAGGTGATAGACAGACAGGTGAGAAAAAGGGACATGTAAGAGACAGACAGGTGAGAGACAGACAGGTGAGAGACAAATAGGTGAAAACAAGAGACAGGTGAGAAAGACAGATGGGTGAGAAAAAGGGACAGGTGAGAGAGACAGACGAGGGAAAAGAGAGACAGGTGAGAGATGGGCCAGAGAGACAGACAGACAAAAGACAGACAGGTGCGAGACAGACGGGAGAGAAAGACAGACAGGTGAGAGCAAGACACCGTCCTTCTCCTGACAGATCTATGAGAACAATTAGAATATTAACTTAAAGTGACTCCAGGTGGAATCAGTGAACTCAGTTAAACCAGTCTTTGCACTGGGACCAGTCTGTCTGTTACTGGGACCAGCCTGTCCGTCTACTGGGACCAGTCTGTTACTGACCAGCTGCATCAGGTTTTCCCAGAAGTCCTGGGTCATCAGTCGGACCATGTTCAGCAGAGACCAACCAAACGAATCGTAGCTGGTGTAGCCGTAGTTTGGGTTTTTCCCCGCCCTCAGACAGGTGTAACCCTCAGGACAGGCCCTAAGGACATCATCATCATCATCATCATTTACTATTATCATTGT